TTCGGGTTTTGGTTCGGGCCTAGCTTCAGCCGAGCTAATGGCGAAAATCATTGCAGCGGCAATAACGAAAACGTTGGTGAATTTCATGATAAATTTAAGCGTTTCAGCAAGTATTTAACTGATGATGTCTGGTGTGGAATTTTGGGTACTTATATACCAATATGCATTTTTTAACACTCAATAATCAATTAAAAGACAATCGAAAATTCGTATTGTTTATATGAAGCCAGTTGATTGATTCTCCGTAAACAATATGGAGTTCCATTGATTATTAAAGTAAACATCGTTGCTTTTGCTATCAAAAATAAATAGACGTCATGCGACACACCTGTTTTTTCATTTATTTGTGCCATTAATTTTATTATTTTAATTTTTGTTCTGAAAAGAAATTGAATAAACGAGAAGCTCAAAATAGGGTTTGGACAACCTTGACACCCTAGATAATGTGGGTTATTGTTAATGTTAGAATCCATTTACTGACGAAAATACAGTCCTGTGTCAGCAAAACATGTTAAGAAAGAAGAAAGCAAAGTTTACAAGGCTGGACCGACCATGTGGTACCTCAGACCAGGAACGTGTACCTTCTAGCCGAAAATAATCTTTTTCATGTAAAATATACAATTCCTAAACGATATAATGTTCTTATAGATAATTTTCAAGAAACTCTATCTTGATATAAATTCGTTAAGCAGTCATACAAATTTTTGTTGATCAAAAAATTTATGAAATCTATGGGATCTCCGGCAGATATTTCAGTGCACTGACCCACATTTGTCATATCCCCCCATTTGAAATATTGCTGGCCGAAGGACTAGTATAAGCTATAAAAGTGGATTTTAAAGATTATTTGTCGAAGGCCATCAGGTATTTATGATCGCCATTTTTCAGGGACTAGAAAATACAGAGATCGTGTACTTTTCAATGTAATATTCGATCTATATCTATTAGTGGTTATAATTGTTGATTTTTTTAAATTTGTTTTCAAAACGAAGATCAGAGAATGTTATGGTTGAGTTTTTGAGAATTTTAATGTAGACTTTCAAAAAATATTTTGAAGAGGATATATAAGTGGATTTTTATACCCTACAACACTATGTGTTGGGGGTATTATAAGTTTGATTGGGCCAAAAGTTATGTAACACCTCGAAATATTGGTTTCCCACATAGGAAAGTATATATGGATCTTCCTATCTCGCCGAGCTGAGTCGATCTAGCTATGTATGTCCGTCCGTCCGTCTGTCCATGTTAATTTGTAATCACTCTACAGGTCGCAATTATGGCCCGATCTTCACGAAATTTAGAATGGAGGTGGGGCTAGGGTCAGAATAGTACCATATTTCTTTTGGAGATGATCGCATAATATTTAGGGGTTGAAATGGACCAAAAACTGAAAAAATCCTGATTTTGCTGTTGCTCTACAGGTCGCAATTATAGATCGATCAAAGCGGAAGTCAGCATGGGGCTAGAGCTTAGGGCTGGACAGAAGCCTTCCAATTTTGCTGGTCATCGGGTAATATTAACTGGGTGAAATAAGCCACAATATTTGTGTTAAATATAAGTCAAATTTTCCATTAAACCGCGAATATTTGTAATCCTGGCGAAAACACAAATAGATAAACAGGTCAATTCTGATCGTTACGTTGATGCCGATAGTAAATATATCGGATATATATAGCGAAATACATACAATGTGTATATACAAAGGAAGGCGTTGTTAGTTAGAATGCTTATATCTCAAGAATGGTTGGACCGATTTTGACAAATTCAGAATGCCCTCTTGACACAAAAGTATAAAATCTAAAAAAATAGCAGAAAAATATGCCAATAATGATGTTAATATAGATTTTGTGAAATTTTTTTGTTTTTTCATATTTTTTATCGCATGTGATTTTTTCAATTTGACTTATAATATTTTTTAATATTTTTTCACCTTACAACACAGGTTGGGATTAATATATAAGGATTAATCCCGATCCTCACGAAATTTTCACAAGGGTAGGGTTGGTCACAGAAGAGCAAGGCCTATTGTTTTCAAATATGTCCGCAATATATAAGGGTTGAAATGGACCAACAACTAAAAAATGTCCTGATTTTGCAGCCGTTATAAAGGTCACAAATAGAAACCAGAGGATACGATATCTCGCATAAAGTTAGAGTTTAGGACAAGCTAACCATATAGATGAGTCTAAATTTGGAGATACAGATGGACTTCTTGCTTTTGGAGATGATTGCAAAATATTTAGGGGTTCAAATTAACCAAAAACAGAAATGTTTTTCCGATCACACAATTGAAGCCAATCGACACGCCTGTGAAGAGAGTTAAGGACAGGGAAGAATTCTAGCATTTTGAATGACCATTGGATTATATTTAGTTGTAAAATGGACTACAACAACTAATAACACGACGGAGTGCATAAATATTTGGCAAATGTCCCTAGTCAAAATCCTAATTTATAATTCCAATATGGATTTGGACATAAGGGGGCTTCTAAAATATTGTAGTGTTGTAGGGTATTACATAGTCGGCCCCGCACGACTATAGCTTTTGCTTACTTGTTTTATTTTTTTTTTTTTTTTTTTGATATAATGCTATTCATTATTTTTGAAGGACTGCTTGTGGATTTTATTTAAATATTATTTGAAGGGGAATAGAATGATAAAGATACAGTTTTATACCCTCAGCCATATGGCTAGAGATGGCATATATCTTTTGATACGGCCAAAACATGCCTAATCGAAATAACGGATTTAGACACTAGATCTCTTTGGTCCAACTCCCTTTCAGTATATTTGGAGATGATCTAGCATTGGTGCGCACGATAAATCTTGAAGGGAGTATCCGATTTGGTCCAAATAAGGTATATCGTAAAATCATTATCAAACTAAGATCGAGTTCGGAGATGGACAATATCGGTCAACTTCTTCTAGTACCTCCCCCACAAAAGTTCTAACTTTTCAAAGCACAGAAAGAGAAAGGTTAATCCGATTTTGCTCCAATTTTGAAAATCCCTCCCAAGTACCTCGCCACACAAAGGGTGAACATTTTGAATAATTAAAACACTAATAAAATGTGATGTAAAAGTCCGATTGTCTTCAAATTACACGCATCATAATGTTCTTATTAACCCAAGATCTGGTGGGAAGGTGATATATATCAGCCCACTCATTTCGGTATCTCCCCCACAAAGGGTCAAAATTTTGAATATCCATGAATTTCATAAAACGCGAAATATATATCCAATTCCATTCGGACTTGGTACATCACAATATTTCTATCAACACAAGATCTATCACAAAGATGGTAGATATCGGGCCATTTCTTCCGGTACCTCCCCTACAAAAGGTTCAAGATTTATATAACTCTTATTAAATGTGATGTAAGAGTCCTATTGTTTTCAAATTACACACATCACAACATTTTTATTAACCCAAGGTCTGGTTTGAAGATGGAATATATCTGTCCACTCCTTCTGGTACCTCCCCCACAAGAAAGGTTTCAAGATTTTGAAAAAATTCAAAGAAAGCGAAATGAGCATCCAACTCTCTTTAAATTTCACACATACAAACATTTTTGCTAACACAAGATCTGTTGTGATGAAGACATACAGGGTGAGATAAAAAAAACTACAACCAAGTCAAACGCCATAATTTTTACATTTTTTTTAAATTTTATTGAATGAAAGCAAAAAATGTCGGAAATAGCATCAAATTTTAGAATAAGTTTAGATTTGTTCGAATTGGTCACCTTTGGTACGAATTATGACCTTCAAACGGCCAATGAAACCGTCACACGCTGCCCGACTGATCTGCGGTATTTTGGCCCATTCCCGGCGAAGCGCTTGCTTGGGGTGATCGACAATTTGGTATTTTTTAGTGCCAACCTTGCTCCAGACACAATAGTCCAACGGATTCATATCCGGAGATTTTGGTGGCCATTGTGTGCTGGAAATGAAGCGAGGAACCTCATTTTGTAGCCATTCTTGGGTGGCGCATGTTTAGTGCGATGATGCTTAGTCCTGTTGGAATGTCCAAAGTCTGAGTTAACACACCCACGAGAATATTTTCGCAATAATATTCGGCATTTATTCTGATGCCACGAACGATTAATACGAGCGGAGAGCGACCATCGGCTGTTATGGCGGCCCACACCATCACCATGACCGACGCTTGAGTTCTGGTGTCCAACCGAAGTTGCACATTTTCAGCTGACCTCTTTGGCAAGTAAACACGCTCATTTTGCTTGTTTACAAACTGCAGGACAACGAATGTTTTTTCATCGTAGAAAACCAAATTCGGCAGTTCACCACTTTCGGTCAAGCGAAGCAACTCTTTAGCTCTTTTGAGTCTATTTTCTTTCTATTGCGGTGTAAGTTCTTACACTTTTTGGAATTTCAATGGCTTTAACCCAAACTAATTTTTCAATATTTGCCGAATGGAATATTAGCTCACGAGCCATTTTTCGGCCATTGCGACGCGGGTTTTGATCAAGTCGCTTCGTGACATTTCGAACCATTTCTGCTGATGTTGCTGTTCTCTTCCGTCCACTTCCTTGACGTCGGGCTACGCTACTACACGGTAACGAGTGATGGTATGATACACAAAAGGTTTATTCACATTTAAATGCTGGAGTGCTCTAATGATAGCCACTTGTGGTTTTCCAGCCAAATATAAAGAAATCACATTTTCTCTTTTGAATTCCATCACGAATAACTTTTTTCTGGAAAATTCTCACTAAAATGCTTTTGTACGCTTGTAAGCAATGTAATGAGCTCTCACTGCAATAATCAGATGAGTGGCTCAGAAATGACGGCAGTCTAAAGTTGGTTGTAGTTTTTTCATCTCACCCTGTATATATAAAAAACCCTTACATATTTGTTTTGTGAAGAATACAGGCTAAATAAATTTATAGATTTTGGTATGAACAATAAGTGCGTTCAATAATAATTATTTGAGTTGTCATTGTTAAATAAATACATTTTTGCTACCATTTGCTATAAAAACCATTGGGCTTTTGAGACCAAACATCAGTACAACAGTTCTGTCTTCACAATCCCCAAATCAAAAATGAAATTCAACAAAGTTTTCATTATTGCCGCAGCCATGATTTTATCCCTTAGCTCGACTGAAGCTAAACCCAATCCAAAACCGGAACCCTTACCCGAGCCCATTTTGAATATTGTCAATGATCTTCTCGGCGGACTTTTGGTAAGTACTTAAAGTATGATTTAATTTTATGAGTATTACTATCACAATATTTTTATTCTTTTTGTAGGGTGGAAAGTAAAAATATCGAATACAGTTAAAATATTTTCTTAAAGAAAAATCCGTTTTTAAAAATAAAGGAAAGATTGGTAAAAACTTTTTGAAATGATTGGTCTTTTGAAATTTCTAAATATTCGTTTTAATGCCAGAGTTTGGGGTTTACATTGCCGAAAAACTTTTTTACAAACCAAGCAAAAACTTTACGACAGGGCTGATTTTTTCTGGACAATTTACCATATGGACATTTAAGTTATTGTGTGTCGTAAAACTTCTAAAATTTGAGAGGGCTGTGGGGGTATATTTAGTTGAAAGATGCGATTTGGTTTCCAATATACCCTTAATTAAGGGGGTGCCGTTCTATGGGGGCTATTCCAAATATAGATCGATGTTGAAACATTTCTTACTCTTACTCATTTGGATTTTCAAATATTACAAGGACCTTAAAAATCACTAAACCCCGTATGAAGCATATGTGAAAATTTGAAATATATTAAAAATTTATTGTAAGATAAATTTTCATCCAATGAGAGCCCAATGTACAAAAGTGCATGCAATTCGATTGGAAAGTTTGGCTAAAGCCTTCGCAAAATACCAAATAACAAGAGGTATGCTAATTCTGAGGCTTTATTACCTAGAGGGCCTTTTATGTCCTGTAACAACATTAAACGCCAATCAAGTAAAAAAGCAGCTAAGTTCGGCCGGGCCGAACTTTTAATACCCTACACCATTTGGAAGGAACGTGGGGACTATACGAAGACGTGGACCTGCATACGACATTTTTTTGTCATAGGCTGCAGTACCCATTATGAACCTTAATACGAAATTTGTTTCAATTACGGTGAATAATGTCGCAAAAATCATGAAAATACCGAGTATCGGGAGGTACCGTCATATAGGGGCTGTACCAAAACGTGGACCTACATGGTCCATTTTTAATATCAACAGTCCTGTAGACACAATATACATTTGAGTAAAATTTTATCAATCTACTTCATTTCATTCGGAAGCTAGAGTGATTTACACAGACGGACAGACGAACAAACGTACAGACGGATGGACATCACTAAATCGACATGCAAGGTTGCCCATATTCGACGGACCCATGACTCTTTGGGCCCATTCCAGTCGACGAGGCTTGTCCGCAGGCAACATTTTTGCGTCAATTGAATTTTGTACGGGAACAAATGCAAATCAATGCGAATAATCCGTTGTAAAGTGGACCGAGCCATGCCCAACTGCTGAGAACGGCGTTTTTGGGATGTTCTTGGGGACCTCTCAACACTGGCTCGTACGGCAGCGATATTCTCGGCCGATCGCCTTGGTCGACTTTTATATGGCCTCTTCGGATTAGAATGAGCCTTACCAGTCGAAAATTTTTCGTATAAACGCTTAATGGTGTTCTTAGAAGGCCCACTTCTCACATTTTTTAATGTTTTAAAAGCACGTTGAGTTTTCACAATTGACTTCTTGTAAATTTCAACTATTTCAGAGCGCTCGCGTGTCGTGTATTGGTTCATGGTAAAAATCTGCTTGGACTGATGCTTCAAACGCGGTATGTCATTAAGCGATGTGACATCTCTGTCAAAAGTTATGGCGTTGCCAGATGGGTCCATCGAATATGGGCAACCCTGTAGAATTTTATGCTGATCAAGAATTTCTATACTTTGTGGGGTCTAAAATGTATATTTCGAGGTGTTACAAACGGAATTACAAACTCAATTTACCCTCCATACTATGGTGGAAGATATACAATTTTTTTTTCTTATTTAAAGTTTCTGCACAACCTCCTTACAAAGACCATGGTTATTCAATAATGGGAATATTAACGAGTATTGTTGAATCTTAACCTCTCTCGCAAGCCCTAATGTTTAATAGACGACGTTGATATACCCTACACCACAAAGTGGTAATTGTATTATGTCCTTGTGCATTTGTTTGTAACATGGACAAGGAAGCGAGACAGACTCATAGTTACTTTTCAGGAATCACTTTCTGAGTCGATTCATGCATGTCAGTCCGTCCATCTGTCCATGTATTTTTGTGAACAGAAATTTTCCAAACAACATTTGTTTGACCCAAGGACGAACCCTATTGAAATTGGTGAGAATCGGTTCAAAATTAAATATAGCTCCCATATATATCTTCAACCGATTTGGGGTTTAAAGACCCTCACACACGTAATATGCACAAGAATGATAGTTGGTAACAGATAACTTTTGGAGCTCAAAAATACCTCTGTCAAATTTTCTTGAAATCGGATCATATTATGATACATATTTCGAGATAATTGTACACCAAATGGCTAATATAAGTCCAAATGACCCGAATTTTGGCACATACCACCGAACTCAGTCTAGAAACAATTTTGAGAAAATCGGTTCAGCTATAGCTTTAGCTCATATACACATGTTTCATCCGATTTGGGGTTTAAAGTCCCTCACACTCCACAACAATGATATTTGATACCGGGAATCAGATGAATCTCGAAAATACCTCTGCGAAAATTTATCTAGATCGGGTCAAATTTTTATATAGTTCATCCGATTTTACGGTTATTGCTCACCATATATGTAATATCAGCCAAATTGAAAAGATTTCTTTTTATATTTTTTAGAGCTCAGGAATAACTCTCTCAAATTTTATCAAGTTCGGATCAGATTAGTATATAGCTCCCATATATGTATTCAACCGATTTCGAGTTAATTTTGCTCCAAATGGCAAATATCTGTCCAAAAGTCCAGGGTTCTGGTACATCCGACCGAATTCAGTCTAAAAGCAAGTACATTAAATTTGGATAAAATCGGTTCAGATATAGTTATAGCACCCATATATATGTTTCATCCGATTTGGTCCTTAAGTCCCTCACATTCGTAATATGCATTCGACAACAATGATATTTGGTACCAGATATCTTATAGAGCTCAGAAATACCTCTGATAAATGTCACCAAGATCGGTTCAGATTTGTCAAAAATTCGTAAATTTTGATACGTCCGACCGAATTCCGTCTAGAAGAAAGTACATCAAAGTTGGAGAAAGTCCTGGGTTTTGGTACATCCGAACTAATTCAGACTAGAAGCAAGTACATCATATAGCTCCCATATATATCTTTCATCCGATTTGGTCTTTAACATTCGTAATATGCATTCGACAACAATAAGATTTGGATCAGATATCTAGAGACCTGATATACAAGTTTATTGTGCAAATAATGGCTAAATCAGCCCAAATGGAGTGAATTTAGGGACGTATGTTTCCATTTTGTGGAACTCGGCTCCGATATATGTTTTTAATATTATCCTTCACGAAGTGATCTGCTGCACTTTATAGCAATGTAATTTGTTATAAAAGTTTAAAATGTCTTCGTCAAATTTAGTGAAAATCGATTCAGAATATAAGTTCCCTCTGAAACCAAATTATAACTGCTCTAAAGCCAATGTTAATAAGTATGGTATGATCTACTTTAAATATATTTTTTTTAATGTTATCATAAAATCACTGCGGATTTCATACAATTTCGAACTTAACTTCTTTTTTACTCAATTTACATTTTAAGATTCTCTCTTATAAGAACCTTTCCTTCTTGACATTCACCCTATGGCATTAACATTTCCAACTGGAATGCTAACATCAGTGTGCCACACACTCATTGGAGATTGTATCCTGTTAACTCACAACATAACACAGCCAACCCCCCAACGAACACCCATTCTGTTAACTGCTGCCATCAATGAATTAACATTACTGTTAATGACGCATTCACAGCGAAAAAGGGGAGTTCGAACGACCAGCAACAACAATAACATTGTTTCTGTTATGGACTTGTGGCCATGCTCTCTTAACACTTTAGTCATTCTCGCAGTGAGTTTGTTGGCATGCGGTTCGTGCGTTTTCTGAAAGCGGACGGTCATTTCAATGTATAACAAGCAGCAACGTTGCTGATGTGCAGCTAGGCTACTACCAAAATACAAGAGTAAAAAGTGTGTGCGTGTGTAGTGTAGTGTGTGCTTTTAACTTGTTGTTCTTTTTATTATTGTAATGATGGTGATGTTGATGTGATGTTGAATAAAAAATAAAGTATGAAAGAAGAATTTTTATCTCACCAAAAGAAGCGCAGTGTCTAAATCAGAAATAGTTCAACGTGGAAATTCCAAAAAAAAAAAAGAAAGAAAATAAATTAAGGAGGGTAGGAGAAAAAAAATCAATGAAATTGCTGGCAGCCAACACCATAGCTTTTCGTCCCTTAAAATCGCGTTGCACAAATGAAAATAAGTTATTGCAAAGCTGCTATTGAAAAAATCAAAGGAATTTGAAAAAGCAAAAAATAATATTGAAAAATAAATAAAAGCAGCATTTTTTATCTATCGAATGAAGCCCAACAAAAGTGAGCAATAAAATTTCGTGTGTTTTTTATCAAACGGTTCTTCTTCGCTGTTGGATATGCTTGCGGTTGCGGTCGCGTTCTTCGTTGTGCCATCCAAAATTTATTGCGAGCAGAGCATTCGTTTTGCGGTGACATTCACTCTACGTTCTCGTTAAAGTGCGAAAATCTAATTAATTTTCAATGAAGAGGTGTCGGGTGCTCCACTAATGTTACGAGTGGCTGCGTATGTGTGTGCGTGCGTAATATGTGTCAGTTCGTTCGTGTGTGTAATTAATAATTCAATAAATATCAAATGGCCTGAAAATTCACACAAAATCGCTGTTTGATCATTTACATACCTACGGTGGAAAAGAATACAAAATAATAATAAAAATAAGAAGAGGACTACAAAACAAAAATTTGTGTTTATTTAAATGCGTATTGAGGTCATTTATCAAAAAACAAAACATCGTCAACGGCCTTAAACAACAACAAATATCAACGTCATCTTCTACTACACAACCAACGGCAACAGTGACGGCGGCGTCAACCAACAAATAGTGAACGTCAACCTCTGAGGAGACGACCCCCGTTAAATTGTTCATTAGAACGGTCACATCAACGGCGCTTCGGCAGCAGCAGCGGCAAAAGAAACAACAACTACCACACGACAATCATTCAAAACAAATTTTACAAGTGTCACACAGTGTAACGTGTTTCGTCGTGTTCGTGGATTTTTGGAGCATTGTTGTGTTTTTGTTTTCCTTTGTTTTTCTTTCAATTTCTCATTGATTGTTGGGGCCACCGAGAGAGAGAGTACATGAAAAAGAGTGAAGTGCGAGAGAGATTTATTCGATGTCATGAGAAGAGAACGTTACGGTTTAATTTTGGGGTCTGAGTAAAGTGTTGCAAATATTAAGAATAACAACACTAATAATAACAACATAAACAAATCGCAAAAATAAAAACAGCTGCTGGCCTTTTTTTGTTGTTGTATTTTTGAATGGTTGGAGAGGATGTTAGTTAAACGGTACGTCATCCACAAATACCTATTCTGTGGAGTATACAAACAATGAGAAAACTATAAATTTAGATGAGTGCTGGTGTACTTTAATGAAAGAAAGAATGAAAAAAACAACAAACGAATTATTATTGAGATTGAATATCAAAATCGATAAACGCAAATGAATGGTGTTAGACTCCGGAATATGGCCAGCAGGTGTAGATGAATAATTAAATACGAAAGATAGCAATAAAAGTGAGTGAAGAATCGAAAAGCGTTGGATTAAAAGCAAAATAAACAAAACGTATGGAATAGAATGAATAAATAATATATAAATAACAAAGGCCATTATTAAATGGAATAGAAAAATGCAAGTCGAATACAATAATAAAGTGCGAAAATTTGGAAAAAAAAATAAATAAATATAATATAAAAATATTAAATGTGTGTGTAATATCTGAAAAAAATTGTTTGGTGTTAAAAAATATGTGCTTTTTTAAATGCAAAAATTATTTATTCTAAATTGCAAATAAAATCATAACCAAGCTGAGTTATTAAAATAAAAAAATAATCGCATTAAAGAAAATAAAAAAATTAAAATGTCTTCGAATTTTATTGTGGAATAAATCAATAAAAGCATACTTGGAGACGCAGAAGTAATAATAGGTTAGTATTAATTAATTATTAGTTTTTATACCCTCCACCGTTGTATGGAAGGTATATTAAGTCTGTCTTTCCAAATAAACATTTTAGACCCCACAAAGTATATATGTCCTTGATCAGCAAAAAAATTTTATGTCGATTTTGCAATGTCCGTTCGTTTGTCTGTCTGTGGAAATCACTCTAGCTTCGGAACGAAATGAAGTAGGTTGATAAAATTTTACTCAAATGTGTATTATGTCTGCAGGACTTTTGGTATTGAAAATGAATCATATAAGTCCACGTTTTGGTATAGCCCACATATATTGGTACCTCTATTTTTTCGGTATTTTGTTGATTTAAGCGGCATTATTCACCGGAAATGTTTAAAATTTTGTATTTGAAGTTCGTAGTGGATACTGCAGCCTATGACAGAAACTTGTCTGTTAGGTCCACGTTTTAGTATAGCCCCCATATAACGGCACCTACCTATATTCGGTATTTTGATGATTTTAGCTACATTATTTACCAAATTTTTTCAAGTTTCACATTTGAGTAGTGTAATGGATTATGACAAAAGTTGCCTATGCAGGCCTAAGTCGTCGTATAGACCCTAATATAACGGCTACATTCGGTATATTTAAGATTTTACCAAAATTTCTAACGGATTTTATTTTTTGAAAATTGCCTAAATCGTTCCAAGTGGTGGAGGGTATTCAAAGATCGGCCCGGCCAAACTAACAGCTTTTTTACTTGTTTGCCGGTCCACGTTTAAATTTGAATTTTTTTTTTAAAAATACCTACTTCGATGTTCTAAAATGGATTTACATCTGATATTCTTCTTTCACAAAACAGTCGTAGTTTGGGGTAACTTTTTAACTTTTGATGTCTTTTGAGACCTATGGTAGAATTAAAAAAAAATTAACAAATTAATCTGCAGAATAGTTCGACTTGCTACGATTCCGTTTAAAATTTTTGAAAAAGAGACAAAAAACTGCAACAAATCAAACGCCACAATATCACGGTAACGAGAGATGGTACGAAACACAAAAGATTTATTCACATTTAAACGCTGGAGTGCTCTAACGGTAGCCACTTGCCGTTTTCTAGCCAATTATCACACTATCACACTTAAATTCCATCACGAATAACTTTTTTTCTGGAAAATTCTCACCAAAATGCTTTTGTACGCTTGTAAACAATATAATGAGCTGTCACTGGAACCATTTTTACAGCTGTCGTACGAGTGGCTTAGAAATGACAGTTTGTTGCAGCTTTTCATTTTTACATAAACTCTAACCTCTTTCATGCACTATAATTTCGACATTGGAGGAATCTGGTATTTGGGGTGTATGGAAAAACATAGAGTATTCTATCCTTAACATGGTGTAGAGAGTATAAAAGTCTCCAAGACTATAAAATTCACTTTGTTATAGTTTTAATAATATAATTATAATATCTTCATCTGATAATTGAAATCATACTTACGCCTATTCTCAATATGTTACTAAATTTATTTCTTCTTATTCCCATCATAAATAATGTGAAATGTTTAAGTCCTTGTATCCAATCTCGATATTTACCACATGCTACCAGTATTTATTTAAACCCTAATAATGTTTTGATGATCTTAGTCTGAAAATAAATTTTCACTACTTTTAAACATAAAATATTCCATTATATTATATTTTACAATTTTACCTCGAATTCTGCTTCCATAACTACTATCCCAAAATTCATATTTCTGACAGAACTCTTACCTAGTCCACGTTGAATTCTTCCTCGTTAAACTAATTCATATTAATTTTGTTACATGGTGTTAATTTGTTGAAATTACTCTGCATTCATTCTTTACATTCACATTCAACGAAGGAAAATATTCACCTACTTTCGTTTATAGAATGTATGAAATTCATTTTTGTCTCTCTCACGCTCTCTCTCTTTTTTTTATATGTGTTCTCACTGCATTTGTTACGGCCCCACCAAACCCCCCCCCCCCCCCATCACACAAACAGATGAAAAAAACATGCTAGCGCACATGAATACCCATACATGCCAAAAACAAAATACCCAAAAACAATAATAATAATAACAACAAATCCCAATAGACTTAGCAGAATACCAATCAGTATTAAGGCAAACAACAACAGACCACAACAATTTGTGTTTTGATAGCTCTGAGAGTTTTCAACTCATAACAACATAAAATTTCTCCATTGGAGCAATCATTGGAGCAATAACAAGAGAGCAACAGTATAATGTTTATTTTTTAACATTGTTTCATCGATACCGGTCTCCCAAAAAATAAATGCTCTCTCACAGCAATGTTGTCAAATCTCTTTCTCTCAGAGTATCCCATTTCAGCTGGGAGCCTACTATACTACACAAAATATACGACACACGACAATTCATTGATTTTTTTTTCCTGTAAATGTTTGTATACAAAAAATGTGGAAAGCGCAACAGAAGAGCAAATCAAACAAATTAAAAAATTACGTAATTAATAAATTATAAATCGAAATCTAGTCAAGATGATTTCCAAATTAAAAAAAAATTAATTTTCTAATTGGAATTTTTGGTTTGGGGCGACATGAAAATGCATTGCTTTTGAAGTGTGTCAAGTGTTGCTGCCAATAAGAAAATCAACTCATATTTTATGGGGGACTCTCTTTCTCACTCACTTACGCTCTCTCTGTCCCATACAATTGCAGTGCATATCCAAAAATAACCACACTGCATCTTCTTGCTTGCATTCCCTCTGCGATTTTTTTCGTTTTTGACCAAATAAATACTGACTGACTGACACTGCTGCTGTTGCCGTAGCCGAGAAGGCTGGCTGTAGGCATTTTTAGTGACTTGTTTTTGCTGGCTATCACATTGTGTGTTTGTTTTAAAATTGATTTGTTGATGTACTTTGGCTGCAGTCAAAACAAGAGCCGAGCCGCACACAAAACTCATGAATTTCATTCACACTTTTCAACTTTTGACATATGTGGGGCGTAGTGTAAATGGAAATGTAAATGAATGTAAAAGGGTAACAAAGGAATGTAGTGAATCAGCTGTGTGGCCTAAAGAGGGGAATGTAGTTATGTGAAATAAATACAAATAAGGACATAAAATTTAATGTTGTACTAATTATGATGGGTTTTGGAATAGGGAGTTGTTAACTTTTAAAGAATATTTTTGAAGACTATCCAAGGATGTAATTGCATTTTCTAGGAAATATCCTTTGAAGGCAATTAAGTATATTTTCAAGGATTATTGAAGGTCATAATCATGATTCTTTTTTAAAATATATCTTTTCTTTTTTAAATTGTTCAAGGACCCGCCGAAGTGGTTTCCCTGTCCTTGTCAAATGCTATATATTCCTCAGAGGATATATATCTCTTGAAACGTATAACATAACAATAACGCGTAACAAAACAATAAAGGCCAAGCCAAGCCAAACACCTCCCGTACTAAGTCCGTTTCAGAACATTTAAAGTGACTCCGTCCATCTGTCTAACTGATTGGCTTGTACGCACGATAAATGTCGAAAAGAATGTCCGATTAAATCCAAACATAACAGTTCGTTATTTTTATATCCTCCACCATTCTATGGAGGGTATATTTTATTTGTCATTAGGTTTGTAACTCCTCGAAATATGCATAATAGACCCTACAAAGTGTATATATTCGGGATCAGCGTAAAATTCTAAGACGATCCAGCGATGTCTGTCTGTCTGTCCCTCTGTCTGTTGTAATCACGCAATCTTTCGAACGAATTAGGATAGGAGGCTAAATTTTTGCATACATGCATAGTTTACCAGTAGGCAGGATAAGTTTGTAAATTATGTTCCACGTTTTCGTATAGCCCCCATATAACGATGCCTCCCGATATTTGGTATTTTCATGATTTTAGCTACATTATTTATCGGAATTATTTCATGTTTCATATTTAAAGTTCATAATGGGTACTACAGGTCCCCATATGACGGCACCTCCTGATATTTGGTATTTTGATGATTTCAGCAACGTTATTCACCGGAATCGTTTTAAATTTCGTATTGAAAAATCTTAATGGGTACTACAACCTATGGCAAAAAATTTCGTATGCAGATCCACATCTTCGTACAGCCACCGATATTTGGTATTTTTATGATTGTAGCGACATTATTTACCGGAATTATTTCCAATATCGTAATTTTATGTTTGTATGCAGGTCCACGTCTTCGTGTAACCCCCATACAACGGTACCTCCCTATAGTCGGTATTTTTAGGATTTCAGCAACATTATTCGCCGGAATCGTTTCAAATTTCGTATTTGAAGTTCGCAATGGTCAGGTCCACGTCTTCGTATGGTTTTTATTTTTCATTTCATTTAAGTGGTAGCTTTCGGATTTTTTTTTAATTTTTCAAGTTCTTTCGAAATGATGGAGGGTATTAAAAGTTCGGCCTGACCGAACTTGCTGTTTTTATACCCTACACCACAAGGTGGTCAGGGTATTATGTCTTTGTGCATTTGTTTGTAACAGGCAAAAGGAAACGAGATAGACCCATAGTTCCTTTTGATGATCTGCATAGAATCACATTCGGAGTCGATTTATGCATGTCCGTCCGTCTGTCTGTCCATGTATTTTTGTAAACAAAGTACAGTTCGCATTTATTGCCCTATCCAGATGAAATTTTGCACAAATCATTTGTTTGGCCCAAGGACGAACCCTATTGAAATTGGAGATAATCGGTCAAAATTTAGTATAGTTCCCATATATATCTTCGTCCGATTTGCCTTTTATTGTGCACCAAAATCCCGATTTGTATGGAATTTTGCACATACAACCAAATTAGGCCTGAAAATAAGTATGCCAAATTTGATCGAAATCGGTTCAGATATAGCTATAGCTCCCATATATATTGTTCATCCGATTTGTTATTTTTGTCCTCCACAGCCGTAATATGCACTCTGTAACAACCATATTTTGGAAAATATATCAAATACAAGTCAGAAATACATTTGCTAAATTTTATCGAGATCGGTTCGGATTTGGATATAGCTCCCATATATAACTTCGTCCAATTTACCTTTTATTGTGCACCAAACGTCTAATATTTGTCCAAATAGGATGGAATTTGGCACTTACGACCGAACTGAGTCTAGAAGCTAGTATGTAAAATTTGGTGAAGATCGGTTCAGATATAGCTATAGCTCCCATATATACTCTTCAACCGATTTGATACATTTGTTACCCACAGCTGTAATGTGCACTCCGTAATGACGATTGTCAGGGAAATGTATCAAATTCAGCTCAGAAATATCTTTGCCAAATTTTATCGAGATCGGTTCCGATTTGGATATAGCTCCCATATATATCTTTATCCGATTTCAAGTTAATTGTGCACCAAATAGGTTATACAAGTCCGAATTTAAAAGATACAACTTCCTTTGAACTTTAAATTATAATAATAGCGTGTATGAACTTTTAATTGTTATGCGGAGCTCTACTAAATTTGCAAAGTGGTGTAGGGTATCATAAAGTCGGCACCGCCAGACTTTAAGACTTTCTTTACTGGTTTTACTTGTTCGAGTTCGAAGATGAACCAATTGGTTCACTTCTAGTACATAACTCTCCTACAAAAGTTCAAAAAACTAAGAAATATATAAATCCCATATATATCGAAGAGTATAGTCTAAGAGATATCGCCTTTTATATCATACCTTAGCCATGTAATGAAACATACACTATCCTTTTCGTATCTTCTGTGCAACTTGTCGAAATGAATAAAAATTAATGTTGTAATTTCTTTTCTTGTAACGCCCACATTCTATTATTTATACCAATATTATATGAATTGTAAGAATGGAATATATCGGTATGATATTTCTTGTGGAAAATATCGGTTTCCTCCTTATTGTGCCTACCCCACGAAGGGTCCGAATTGTTGGGTGAAATTGGGGGACATGAAATAAGTATAAATCTCATGTGAAAATGCTCTATATTGATCGAATCTTCCTTTTGAAGCTAACCCCAACGGTCGTTTTGAGAAATAATTTTCATTAACATTTGCCATTCGGTGGATCACTGGAACACAACTAATACATTCATGTTTTTGCATTTCATTATAAAAACGCCACCAAATGTCTTCTATTGTTATCCAAATAAAACATATGAAATGTGTTGGAAATATAACCCAAGAATTGATGTTAATAGAGATAACATATTAAGCCATTCATTAAAATATTTTGTCAGAACTTTTTAATGTTTTTTTCATTCAGAATGTGAGCTTTATTTTGCCTTCCACCCTTAGTGACTCAACATCGTCATAATCGTGAATCTGTCATTGAGTTTAGTTTTGAAATTTGGGGCAGTTTATCCCCCGAAATATCATAAAAAGCGGCATCTTAAGCAGTGAAGATGAAGTAGTCGTCGTTAATTGACTAAAATGTGTTTGGGGGAATTTCTGGTTAACTCCTACCATTTTGATTTCATATTTATTAATTCTTTTGTCCCTCATCATTTTTTTTATTAATGAACTATAAAATGATTGGGTTGGAAGTGTCAAAATATTGCTTTGTTATTTTTGGGAATTTTAAAGGATTAATTTTTCCCATATACGGTACTCGTAAAAACACACATCATATTTTTGTTCACGTATTTTATGCATGATTGGGATCTATGAGTTGTTGAAATAGTAAAATTCATAGGCACATGAATATAAACATGACTTATCTTGAAATGTTTATGAGATTTAAGTTACTTGAAGATTTTGACTCTTTGTGAGAGAGGTACCCAAAGGAGACGTGCTATGTTTTGATCTCGAATTTGATTTTTCCAAATGATTTTTTTTTCAAGTAATGCTTAGCTATGGGGGAGGTAAAGGCTGACCTACATAACTCATTTTTCCAGTAGACCTAGTATTTGGAGAAATATGCAACAAGTGTGCCGTTTAAAAGAAGTCAGAATTTATATATCGGTGTGGAGATTTAAGAAATGCTTGCCAGACATTTTATTGACGACATAGGAGTGATTCAATTATGCGCTGTTCAGACTACATTGGGTATAATGTTCAAGTTCCTTAGTACAGTAAGCTAGTTTTTTGAGTCCGTAAGTTTATCTGTTCAAAATAAATATGACTATTAGCCAAACGAACTCTTATGGATAGACATATTTCGCAGTTGAATGAACTTTCTATGGCGAAGGGTATGATTTTTCAAATGTTTGACCCCCTAGGGAGTAGATTCCGAAAAATGGTTCAATATTGTCCATTTCGTATCGGACCTAAATAATTTCGCATTTTATAAGCTTCATGGATATTCCAAATTTTGACCTCAGCACCAAAGTGTCGATCACCTCAAGCAAGCGCTTCGCCGGGAATGGGCCAAAATACCACAGAGCAACATTCGGGCGGCGTGGGATATTCCAAATTTTGACCCTCAGTGTGAGAGGCACCAGAAGGAGTGGACCGACATACAGGGTGAGATGAAAAAACTTCAACCAAATTCAGACTGCTGTCAGTTCTAAGCCACTCGTCCGGCAGCTGTTAAAATTATTCCAGTGACAGCTCATTATATTGTTTACAAGCGAGAGAATTTTCCGCAAAAAAAAGTTATTCCTGATGGAATTCAAGCGTGATAGTGTGATTTGTTTATATTTGGCTGGAAAACCACAAGTGGCTATTGTTAGAGCACTCCAGCATTTAAATGTGAATAAATCTTTTGTGTCTCGTACCATAACTCGTTACCGTGCTACTGGTAGCGTAGCCCGACGTGTCAAGGAAGTGGGCGAAAAAAAACAGTACATCATCAGAAATGGTTCGATAAGTAAAGAAGTGACTTGATCGAAAACCTCGTCGCAGTGGCCGAAAAATGGCTAGTGAGCTGAACATATCGCAATATTCCATTCGACAAATATTGAAGAATGAGCTCGGGGTAAAGCCATTGAAATTCCAAAAAGTGCAAGAACTTACACCGCAACGGAAAGAAAATAGACTCAAAAGAGCTAAAGTGTTACTTCGCTTGCCCGAAAGTGGTGAACTGCCGAATTTGGTTTTCTCCGATGAGAAAACATTCGTTGTCCAGCAGTATGTAAACAAACACAATGATCGGGTTTACTTGCCAAAGAGGTCAGCTGAAAACGTGCACCTACGGTTGACTACCAGAAATCAAGCGCCGACCATGGTGATGGTGTGGGCCGCCATAACAGCCGATGGTCGCTCTCCGCTCGTAATAATAGACCGTGGCATCAGAATAAATGCCGAATATTAAAAATATTCTGGAGGGTAGGGCAGACGTTGGACATCCTAACAGGACTCAGCACAATCGCATTCAGCACGCGCCACCTAAGAATGGTTACAAAATGAGGTTCCCCGCTTCATTTCCAGCGCACAATGACCACCAAAATCTCCGGATACCAATCCGTTGGACTATTGTGTATGGAATTTTTTTTTATTTCAAAAGCAAGGTTGGCACTAAAAAATACCAAAGTGTCGATCACCTCAAGCAAGCGCTTCGCCGGGAATGGGCCAGAATACCACAGAGCAACATTCGGGCAGCGTGTGGCGTTTTCATTGGCCGTTTGAAGGGTATAATTCATGCCAAAGATGACCAATTTGAACGAATCTAATCTTATTCTGAAATGTAAGGTTATTTCCGACATTTTTTGCTTTCATCCAAAAAAAAAAACAAACAAAAAAAAAAAAAAATAATGGCGTTTGACTTTTTTGCAGTTTTTATTCTTGTGTTAGTAGAAATAATGGGATGTGTGAAATATAAAGAGAACCGGATGCTATTTTCAAATTGTATAACCATGTTCGTTGTTCAAAACTCTGGCCCTTTGTGGGGGAGGTACCAGAAATAATGTCCGACCTCTACCACCTTTATAATAGATCTTATTTTGATGGAAATATTGAGATGTGCCAAGTCCGAATGGAATTGGATATTAGTTTCGCCTCTTTTTTTAAGCTTCATTCAAAATTTTGACCTTTTGTGGAGAGGTAGCAGACGGAGTGGACCCATATATTCCATCTTCACACCTGATCAGAGTTTAATAGAAATATTGTGTAATTGAAGTAATGTAATTTGGAGTGGACCGATATTACAGGGTTGCCCATATTCGACGGACCCATCTGGCAACGCCATAACATTTGACAGAGATGTCACATCGCTTAATGACATGCCGCGTTTGAAGCGTCAGTCCAAGCTGATTTTTGTCATGAACCAATACATTACACGCGAGCGCTCTGAAATAGTTGAAATTTACATTCAACAGAAGAAGTCAATTGTGAAAACTCAACGTGCTTTTAAAACATTAAAAAATGTGAGAAGTGCGCCTTCTAAGAATACCATTAGCGTTTATACGAAAAATTTTCGACTGGTAAGGCTCTTTCTAATCCGAAGAGGCCATATAGAAGTCGACCAAGGCGATCGGCCGAGAATATCGCTGCCGTACGAGCCAGTATTGAGAGGTCCCAAAGAACATCCCAAAAACGCCGTTCTCAGCAGTTGGGCATGGCTCGGTCCACTTTACAACGGATTATTCGCATTGATTTGCATTTGTTCCCGTACAAAATTCAATTGACGCAAAAAAAAAACATGGGTCCGTCGAATATGGGCAACCCTGTATCTATCTCCGGTCTCAATCTAAGTTTGATAATAATATTGTGATGTTGGCGAAGTCGGATATATATGGTACCATAATGAAGAGCAAATTTAGTTTTTTATTCTTTATGATTTTTCAAAATATTTTCCACTCGGTGGTGAGAGAGCAAATAAGAACTTCTTCCCCATACCATTTGAAATTTAAGTCAAAATATTTTATTCAAAAAAAAAAAAAAAAAAAAAAAAATTGGTTATAATTAATAAATTTATTTTTTTTTTTAAATTTTCAGGGCACAACGGTCAAACTGTTGTCTCCAGCATAATTTCTCGGCAGTTTAAACTACGCTTTTCAAAATGGCTGCCACAAGCGCTGGACTTCAAACACAGCCGCCGCAGCATCAGCAACAACAACAGCAGCAGCAGCAGTCGGCAACAAATGTAGTGCAACACAAACTTAATGGGTCGAACACAAATTTACTACTAAATGGAGGTCTTGGTGGTGGCATAATGAGGAATACTCAAATTCCTCAACAACAGCCGCCACAAATACACAACTTGCAACAACAGCAACAATTGATGCAACAGTATGCCATGAAACAGCAACAGCATGCTAACTTTCTGCAACATCAGCAGCAGCCGCAACAGCAGTTGCATCATCAGCAACAGAGCAATCAAACGTTTTTAATGCAACAAACGCCGTCGCAGCAACAAATCTATCAAATATCCCAACAGACGCAACAGCAACAACAAATGTTTCACTCGCAAAATAATCAATTTGCCAGCAACATGATGCCTTGTCAGAATTTTATGACACCGCCGCCACAATTGCATAGCCAACCAAATCGCTTTACCATGACCAACAACAGCAACAACTCAACTGCCAACAACACCATTAGCGTTAGCAGCAATACCATCACCTGGAGTCAGCAATATCAAAATTTGCAAAATTCTCGCAAACAGCCGACAATTGTTGCAACCAATCATCAGAAACAACCTCCAACACAAATACGTCCCAGCAAACAGCCGCCTTTTCAACAGCAGCAACAGCAACAACTGGCTACCACCAACAATCAGAGTACCAACCCAACAAACAATGACAGTGGCAATCTGCAACTGCAAATGTTGCAGCAGCAACAACAACAAGTTGTACCCCCGGTCAATATGCAGCAACAGCAACAGCCACAACAACAACTGCGTCAAGAGGCTTTACAAAATATTGTTGCTGCTGTCGCACCGAAACCAGTGTTGCCAACCCAAACGCTAACACCCAAGTCCGAACCCAATGAAGTGCAAATAAATATTGTTGCAAGTGATAATACAAGACAAATCCAAGTGACTAGTGGTCCAATTGTTGCAAACAAAATAAATAACAACAACAACAACAACAACAGTTGTGATTTGTCAAAGAACCTACCAAAAGAAACGACGCTCACTAATGGATTAACAGCAACAGCGCCAAATGAAAGTAGCCAATTAGACGCTAAACCCAATATTGCACCGGGTTGGCAAAGACAGTCCAACAACAACAATGAAATTGTTTATATAAGGTAAGTTTGAGAACTGTTTTTTTGGGATTTTTCGTTTTTTTTTTGTCTTTTGCTGCAATCGTAAAGGAGCTTTGTTAACTCTTACTAAATTGGATCGAAATATTTAAAAAAAAAAACAAGTAAGCAAAGGCTATAGTCGTGCGGGGTCGACTATGTTATGCCCTACAACACTACAATATGTTAAAGCCCCCTTATGTTTAAATCCATATTGAAAGATTTCGCTTTTGAAATTAGGATTTTGACTAGGGACATTTGCCCAATATTTATGCACTCCTTCGGGCTGTTAGTTGTTGTGGTCCATTTTACAGCCAAATATAATCCAATGGTCATCCAAAATTCTAGAATTCTTCCCTGTCCTTAACTCTCTTCACAGGCGTGTCGATTGGCTTTAATTGTGTGATCGGAAAAACATTTCTGTTTTTGATTAATTTGAACCCCTAAATATTTTGCAATCATCTCCAAAAGCTAGAAGCCCCTCTGTATCTCCAAATTTAGACTCATCTATATGATTTGCTTGTCTACTATATTTGGCTATATTCGTCAACGAAATGAGCATAAAAAAGCCTTTTGTGTATTTCAGATATCGCCTGTAAGTAATACTGGAATTTTATCATACAAAATTAGTGGTCTATTGTACCCGCTGTCCTAAACTCTAACTTTTGGCGAGATTTCGTGTCCTTCGGTTTCTATTTGTGACCTTTATAACGGCTGCAAAATCAGGAACATTTTTAGTTGTTGGTCCATTTCAACCTCTAATATATTGCGGACATCTTTGAAAACAATAGGCCTAGCCCTTCTAAGCCCAACCCTACTCTTGTGAAAATTTTCGTGAGGATCGGACGATATTTGCAATAATTATATAATATCCCCAACCTGTGTTGTAAGGTGAAAAAATATTTCAAAATATTTAAAGTCAAATTGAAAAAAATGCATGCGATAAAAAATATGAAAAATTAAAAAAATGTCACAAAATACTACAAAATCTATATTAACATCAGTATTGATACCTTTTTATGCGATTTTTTAGATTTTATTCCTTTATGTCAAGAGGGCAATCTGAATTGACAAAATTTGTCAAAATTGGTCCAGCCATTCTTGAGATATAAGCACTCTAACTAACATCCCCTTTCATTTGTATATACACATTGTATATATTTCGCTATATATAACAGATATATTTACTATCGGTATCTACGTAACGGTCAGAATCGTAGTCTATTTGTGATTTCGGCGGGATTAAAAATATTCGCGATTTAATGGAATTTGACTTTTATTTAACACAAATGTTATTGTCTATTTCACCCACTTTTATCCGATGACCATCAAAATTGGAAGGCTTCTGCCCAGTGCTAAGCTCTAGAAACATGCCAATTTCCACTTCAATTGGTCTATAATTGCGACCTGTAGAGCAACTGCAAAATCAGGATTTTTTTTCAGTTTTTGCTCCATTTCAACCCCTAAATATTATCCGATCATCTCCAAAAGAAATAGGGTTCTATTCTGACCCTAGGCTCACCTCCATTGTAAATTATGTGAAGATCGGGCCATAATTGCGACCTGTAGAGTGATTACAAATTAACATGGACAGACGGACGGATGGACATACATAGCTAGATCGACTCAGCTCGGCGAGATAGGAAGATCCATATATAGGTTCCTATGTGGGAAACCAATATTTCGAGGTGTTACATAATTTTTGCCCGAATCAAACTTATAATACCCCCAACACATAGTGTTGTAGGTTATAAATACCTATATTATTCATAGGTTTAAGGAAGTGGATTCCGAAAAAAGGAGTCCCGTGTAACATTTGAATTTACACATTAGGAGATTGCTCGTTGGGAGTAGAATTTTTTTTTAATTTTTTTTAATTTTATGGGGATTTATATAACAAGCCATTTATGAGAGGATGGACCAATAACAGTTTGTAACAAGTTGAAAAGTATCTGTCGGTTTTGTCGACAGCTTGTTTGGTCATTTAAATATATGATTTTATGGTTCCAAAGGAGTGGGTCAATGTTGTCCCTTTCGTATCTGACCTATGTCTAATATAAATGTACCAGATCTGGGCTTTATCGATAACTTCGTTCACATTTACCTGAGAAATGTAATAATTTTTGGAAAATTGAGAAATGTTGAGTGTATTCCACTTCGTCTAATACAGAAAACAAATTTATTTCAAAGTTTATACGAATACCAGAAGGAGTTGCCTGATATATTTCACATTCACACCAAATTTTGTGTTGATAGAAATAGTGTGGTGTATAAAATTTCCAGAGAATCGGATGCTTATTTCGCAAATTATAAGAGGTATAATTATTCAAAATGTTAACTCTTTGTGGGGGTGGGGCAAAGAGGAGAGGACCAATACAGGGTTGCCCATATTCGACGGACCTTTGGACCCTTTGGGCCCATTCCAATCGACGAGGCTTGTCCGCAGGCAACATTCTTTGCGTCAATTGAATTTTGTACGGAAACAAATGCAAATCAAATGTAAAGTGGACCGAGCCATGCCCAACTGCTGAGAACGGCGTTTTTGGGATGTTCTTGGGGACCTCTCAACACTGGCTCGTACGGCAGCGATATTCTCGGCCGATCGCCTTGTTCGATTTTTATGTGGCCTCTTCGGATTAGAAAGAGCCTTACCAGTCGAAAATTTTTGATATAAACGCTTAATGGTGCACTTCTCACATTTTTTAATGTTTTAAAAGCACGTTGAGTTTTCACAATTGAATATTTCAGAGCGCTCGCGTGTATTGGTTCATGGTAAAAATCTGCTTGGACTGACGCTTCAAACGCGATATGTCATTAAGCGATGTGACATCTCTGTCAAAAGTTATTGCGTTGCCAGATGGGTCCGTCGAATATGGGCAACCCTGTATATTCCATCTTCACACCAAATCTTTTGTTAGCAGAAATACTATGAAATCCGAAAATTGGAGAGAATCGGAAGCTTTTTTAGTATTGTGTGAGGTGCATGTTGGAGTGGGCCGAACATGCCCATTTTCGCATCTGATCTAGAACTGAACATATATTGGGATTTGCAAAGTTTGAATAAAAATAGATTATCCTTTTGTGTTTTATACGGTAAATTATTTTCTCTGAAAGTGTTAAAGTTTTTGAGGGATTTTCCCAAATTTATAGTTCGAATTTCCAATAACCCTTTGATGCATCTACCTTGCACTCCATCAGTGACTCCCATTCCAAATTCCAGATTTCCAGCTCCATCAATTTATCATAATTTCAATTTGTACCAAATTTAGTACCATATATTACAGATAAGTACGAATTACCAAAACTTCAAACATAAGCCAATCCTTCACTCCAACAGTAATCTTAAAGTTCGAATTTCCAATAACCCTTTGGTGCATCTTCCTTGCACTCCATCAGTGACTCTCATTCCAAATTTCAGATTTCCAGCTCCATAGGTTTATCATAATTTCAATTTGTACCAAATTTAGTACCATATATTACAGATTAGTACGAATTACCTAAACTTCAAACATAACCCAATCCTACACTCCAACAGTAATCTTAAATCCAAATTTCAGGATTCGAGCGCTGTCGGTTAACCCAAATCAAAATTTTACCACATTTAGTACATTTTAGTATCATTTAATACACTTAAGTACAAATTTGAATAACTACCCGCATCGTACAGGGTGATATAAAAAAAACTTCAACAAAGTCAAACGGCATAATTTGCAAAAAATGTTTAGATTTGTTCGAATTGGTCACCTTTGGCACGAATTATGGCCTTCAAATGGTCAATGAAACCTTCACACGCTGCCCGAATGTTGCTCTGCGGAATTTGGCCCATCCCTGCGAAGCGCTTGCTTGAGGTGATCGACACTTTCCAAAATACTCCAGAAACAATAGTCCAACGGATTGGTATCTGGAGATTTTGGTGGCCATTGTGCGCTGGAAATGAAGCGAGGAGTCTTATTTTGTAACCATTCTTGGGTGGCGTGTGCTGAGTGCAATGGTGCTGAGCCCTGTTGTCCAAGGTCTGCGGCCAAAATGTTTGCATGCCCAAGGCTTTAATACACCCTCCAGAATATTTTCGCCATATTATTCGGCATTTATTCTTATGCCACGGTCGATAAATACGAGCGGTGAGCGACCATCGGCTGTTATGGCGGCCCACACCATCATCATGGCTGGCGCTTGAGTTCTGGTGGCCAACGGAAGGTGCACATTTTCAGCTGACCTCTTTGACCATCAAAGAGGCTGACCTCTTTGACACCATCATTTTGTTTGTTTACAAAGTGCTTGACAACGAATGTTTTCTCATCGGAGAACACCAAATTCGGCAGTTCACCACTTTCGGCCAAGCGAAGCAAGTTTTTAGCTCTTTTGAGTCTATTTTCTTTCTGTTGCGATGTAAGTTCTTGCACTTTTTGGAATTTCAAATGCTTTACGCCGAGCTAATTGTTCAATATTTGCGATTTGTTCAGCTCAGGGTTTCGATCAAGTCGCTTCTTTACTTTTCGAACCATTTCTGCTGATGTTGCTGTTTTCTTCCGTCCACTTCTTTGACGTCGGGCTACACTAACAGTATCACGGTAACGAGTGATGGTAAAAGGACACAAAAGATTTATTCACATTTAAATGCTGGAGTGCTCTAACTATAGCCACTTGTGGTTTTCAGCTAAATATAAATAAATCACACTATCACGCTTGAAATCCGTCACGAATAACTTTTTTTTTTAGAAAGTTCTCACCAAAATGCTTTTGTACACTTGTAAACAATATAATAAGCTGTCACTGGAATAATTTTAACAGCTGTCGGACGAGTGGCTTAGAAATGGCAGAATTCTGAAATTGGTTGCAGTTTTGCCATCTCACCCTGTACTGCTGATTTGGTTGCACATTGGAACCGTACACTTCCAAATATCGGAAGTGGACTTACATAATACATTTTTTTGTGGGTGTTTAAACTACCTTCTGAATACTACAAATTGAGGCCGAAACTTCAAAATGCAATAAATCAGAAGGAA